CAGCTTTATTGGAGCTTGCTTTCTGGCCAAACTCACAACATTTTAAATCATCCTGACGGGCTCTTTGTTCTTGATTATCCACATAAATCTGACTATAAGCCCCCAACAAAAGCTATGCCACTGCCTCAAGATTCGAGTGCCTTGAAATGTCTTTGGCCAAATTAATCACTTCCCTGTACTTAATCTCAGACTCAGGCAAAGTCTCTGGACATGAGGAAAATGCAGACAAACTTTCTGTCAAGCCATAACACATATCATCTGGAGCCCAACAATCAATACAGTCCTTCTCAGAAGAAACCTCCCAAACCTGGTCTTTACCAACAGGACTTCTATCAACTTTTTGGTCTTCTGAGCTCTGACCAGAATCTCCCATACAAAACAGTTGAAGGAATTTCAGTGCTTCTCTTTCAGGCAACATCTCTGAACCTTTCCTATCTCTCCCCTAAGCTATTCCCACAGGCTCTTGAACCACATGGTCAGGTAAACTCACAGCCATGATCCCACTTCTCAGTACCAATTTCTGTTCAGCTACTTTTCTCTCTTTGCTGGGACAAAATACCTGACATCCAGAATTAAGGAAGGAAAGGTTTATTTAGCTCACAGTTTATGGAGGTTTCAGTCCATTCTCAGCTGATCCCAAGGCAGAGTGGCACATGGCGGAGAGCAGCAGTTCGTGGTGGCAGAAAACAGCAAAATACCCAAGAGCAAAAAGGGTGGGAGTAATAGCTCAGTGGCATAAGTGCCTGTCTGGCAATTGCAAAGTCCTGTGTTCAATCACCAGTATGGGGGGCGGGGAAGGGGAGTAGGAGGTTTTCAAAGGACAACTAGACACAAACCATAACATATATCTTAAAATTCTTCATTTCAGATTGTACAATTCAGTGGCTTTGGTACGTTTACGAGGTTGTGAAATCAACACTGACTAATCCCACATTTTCATCACCCCCCAAAAGAACCCCCTTAACAGTCACTCTGCATTTTTTATCCCCTAATCCCTCATTAACTACTAATCCTTTTTTTTTTTTTTTTTTTTTTGCAGAACCGGGGATTGAACTCAGTCCCCGGCCCCTACTAATCCATTTTGTTTATAGATTCACCTAGACATTTCATATTAATGAAATTACACAATGTGCAGCCTCGCACATCTGACCTTCTTCACTCAGTACCATGTTTTCAAGATCTATCTCAGTTGCAGCTTAAGTCAGTACTTCCTTCTTATGGCTGAAAAATATTCTATTGTAGTGCTATAGCAAACTGTATCCAGTCAAATAATGGACATGTGGGTTGCTTCGCTTTTTGACTATTGTAAATAATGCTGCTGTAAAGGTTCACGTCCATGGTTTTCTGTGATCATGTTTTAGTTCTCAGAGTGTATGCCTAGTGTTGTGGATCAACTCTGCATAGGAACCAGATCAGCCAGATAGAAATTTGAATAGAGCCTTTTATTTACTGAGCTCAAGTCCATCAGCCATTTCTCATGCAGGAGAAGGCTGATCAGCAATCGAACGGAGGTAGCAGGGGGCTACATATAACAGAAATCACATCCAGTTTGGTAAGCGAATTTGTTATCTAGCACAGAACAATAGAAGACTATATCTACTTGACACAGCTGCAAATTGCTCGTAACTAAAGTCTTTCACAGCTTAGTGATAAGTGCATATTTTACAAGACACATCTTAAGCTGACCACGTTAAAGGAGATGGTTAGGGAGGGAGCTTGCTGCCTTGACAAGAAACAGTTATTTATTGTTGAACAGCCTTGAGCCAAGAGGGAGAATACATGTCTTAGAGTAGATTACAGGAAACAGTTTTTTTTAAAAAAATAATTTCCCATAGTTAAGGCACAGAATTCTGTTACCCCTTTACACTAGAAGGGGTACTTCTTGATCCTATGGCAACTCTAAGTTGAACTTGTAGAAGAAGCCCTACAGTGGAGGTCCACCAGCAACCTGTAAGGATCATTTCTCCACACCCTCACCAACAAATACTATTTCTAGAATCTTTCTTTTTACCTCAGCAATGTTGTTTCATAAATTATTGCTTGTA